TGGTTTATATTCATTGGGTATAGTTTTTTATTACATACTTAACAAAAATGTTGATTGCCGAATGTAGGTGTCACCTAAAAATGCAAAAAGGCAGAACCCTAGGTACGGCAAACAATATTTAATAATATAATCTAATATAAAGGGCTTATCATAACTCTACAACACTCACATATTGACAAGATAGGACAACTTATTATTAATTATAATTATTTGTTTATCGAAGTATATTCGGTGAGTTTTTTATATGGAGAAGATGCAATTGCCAAAAATCAACAGCAAGTCTCATCTACTTTAGACTTGTACTTTATTATACTAAAATTGAATGGGCTTCTAAACTGCATACTCAAAATATTACAAAGAAATCTAATTAAAAACCCCGATTTTTTTAATGTTGCACGAAGATTGACACTTGGATTTGTACGGTTTTTGTTAAAGAATAAACTATATTTTTATAAACAAATAATTAAAATTAAAAAATAATTAAATAATTAGTCATGGTCTATATGTGAGTGTCGTATAGTTATGACAAGCACAATACATACATATGTACATTAGACTGCATCACCAAAAAAAGTTGCGGTTTTTCCGCCGGGATTACAAAATTTATTATATTTTAAGATGTCCACCAAAATATTTCGGAAAAATATGAAGATTTAAGCGAGCTGGACCGATTTGAAAATACCTCCAAAAATGAAGTTTTTTATGAATAAAAATAGTTTCTTAAAGATCTTTTTGAAAAAAGTCCCCTCAGATGACAAATTAGATTAAGCTTAAAAAATCTGCACAAAAATATTTAAAAATCTTTTCAACGGAATCGTAATGAATGAGACTTTTGATGCTGTTTTTTTACTTTTTTCAAAGATTAGTTTCCGAAAAACTTGAATAACTGGGCCAAAAATGTTCTGATTTAGACTTATGGCATCTCAGTAGAAAGGTATTTTCACACTATTTTTATTTCTGGCCACAAAAAAACGTCATTCGTGTCCAATCTTGTTTTTTTCGAATACCAATACATCTTAATTCAACTTTGAATGACGTTCGTTCATCCTACCTTTCTCTTCCATCCTTTGAATCAGTTTATTAGCAAAGAAATAAAAGGGTGAGAAAATACCTTTCCAATGATGTCTCTTAAGTCTAAATCGGAAGAGTTTAGGTTCAGTCATTCAAGTTTTTCCTCTATCAACCTTTGAAAAAAGCATCAAAAATCTCATCAATACGATTCCGTTCAAATTTTTTTTTTACTTTTTTTTTAATATTTTTATGCAAATATTTTAAGCTTAAACCGTTTCGTCATTTGAGGGGATTTTCAAAAAAAAAAATCTTTAAGAAACTATTTTTATTCATAAAAAAACCCATTTTTGGAGATATTTTTAAATCGGTCCAGCTCACTTAAATCTTAATATTTTTCCGAAATATTTTGGTGGACGTCTTAAAATATAATAAATAGATTTTATAATTCCAATGAAGAAAATAGTACCGATTTTTTTGTATGGAGAGTGCTGCAGTCTAATGTACATCTATGTTTCAATTGCCAAAGTAATTTACTACACTCAGCACTCGCTTCTCTTGAATTTACAGAAACGGCGTTATGTATATATATATGCCTATATTTATATAAATTAGAGAAAATTTTAAATCATAATACCTGCTTAAAAATATACTAGTAAAATATACAGTATATGTACATATAATAAAATACCTTAACGCTTTGAACTTTGCTTTAAAATACATATTATTGATAAAGAAATAGTTACAAATTTCATATCATTAGTATATAAATAATGTATGTTTTTAGATTTCCAATTATTATTATTACATACAATTTTTTAATTTTCATGGTTTAACTTTTTCGCAGAATTTTCGCCTTCGCGTTGATTTTTCAATAGTTTGCATGCAAAACTAATATAAATTTAGTAGAACTTCAAATAGCGGACAAACAAAAAAAAAAAAGAAGAAAAATCGACATGAAAAAAAAGTTAATGAAATGGAGGGCATAAAATGCAGGAAACTAACGATATGTATGTATGTATGTGTATTAGGGTGGTCCAAAATGCTTGCAAACAAAGTAAAGTCGTATCTTGAATGTTCTATACCCCTGTTTTTTTAAATCAAAACATATTTAAAGGTCGCTTAAAATGTTCCAAGTTTCCCATGTACATATTTCTTATGGGGAAAAATAATTTGTTTACGTAGAAATGCTATACAATCCTTGAAAATCAATTATTTTTCAATTGGCAAACTCTGTTTCCCCTCAGCAGACTTCAAAGAGTAATACAAATTGTTTATTTAAACATTTTTTTATTGGTCCCCCAAAAACCCAAAAAATTGCAATAGGACACCCACCCCAATAAGCACACATACATACATACATATGTGGTAGTTAAAAGGAGGGAAGGATGGAAGTAAGTCAATATGACTCGTATATGTATGTCGAAATGGATAATCTAATAAAATTTACAAAAAAGAGGCGAAAAGTATGAGGATAAATGAAAATTCCTAAAACAACAACAATACAAATAAAACAAGGACAATTTCATACGAGTATTTGTGTGAAAATGTATGCGTTTGAGTATGAGTTTGTTTGCACTTTTCACATAGAAAGCGTCAAAAAATTGAGGACACGGAAACATGCGACATTTATGAAATCAAATTCAAAATTAAAATGAAAATCAAAATCAAAATCAGTAACAGTATGGACTAACACAAAAAGGAAAATTTGAAAAATTGCACAAAAGTTAATAAATAAAAATAAAATAAAAAATCGGCGACAGAAATAGCGAGAAGAGCTAGGCTAGGCGAGGTTGGAGAGCGGGGATAGCTTGCGCACGCTTGTGTGTGTGTGTGTGTGTGCGTTTTTGTGTGTTGGGGTAAATAAATGGCGGCCAAGTGGGAAATAACTAAAATAGTACGCTTTGCTGCAGGCGCGCAGTAAACGTCGGGTGTGGGCGTATTTTCGTATATTTATTTATTTACTTTTTTTCATGTTCGTATTATTTATTTAGCAATTTTTGATATGGCAAACATGCAACACTGGCAAGCATAAAATGTCAACTGAAAATTTATATGCGAAGCAAAAATTAGTTGGGGTGTAAAATTTGGCGGAAATGTTAAGGGAAATTTGAATCGTGGAAATGTCGTGCAAAATTTTCGGTTTTCGGGCAATTTAAAAGATGGCAAATTTATTTTTTCGGAACTTTTCCGGTAGTGAGCTGTTCACTAATTTTTTTATCATCCAATTTCTAAGCAGAAAATTTCCAAATTGTTTTTGTACGCTTAAAGCGACTACATAATATTGTTAGGATACGGTTTTTTGTTTGTTTTTCAATTAAATTTATGACTGCAATTCTCACATGGGTTGGGTGGAGGCTATAAATCAAATGTTTGTTTGTATGCGCTTTATTTGTTGTAACTAAAAAATTGTTTGCATTTTAAGCATGGTCGCTTTTAATTTTTTGTGTCGAAATTATTTTTCAGCGACAGCAAATGTTAAACGAAAAATCGCCATTGAAATCAAAATTTGTAATAGGCAAAAAAAACAGATATGAACCGAAGTAGTGATCATAAAAAATGTTAAAAACGTGATGTTTTAACGTAGATACATATGCAGCAGGTAAACAAATTCATAGACAAAGAACACGACGAAGAGCAAAAAATATATTTAAATATACTTATATTGCATAATATTTGTGGTATTTTTTTTTTTGATGTAGTAGTAGTTAAGTAGTAAGTAATGTAACGGTATCATTTGAGTTTGAAAATCGAAATCGAACAGGAGTGAAAACGTCAACAAAAGAAAAACTAAACACTTTTTTATCTGTTTTTTTTTTCATGAATAGAATAAGAAAGGACAAGCCGTAAAGGGTTTGGCGCACTTACCGATTCGTGTGTGGTGAGACGATAATCCAAATCACCGCCTAGACCGCCGCCCGCCGACGCCGAGCGCGGCTGATGCATATGCCGACTGTTGCTGTTGTCATCCTCGCTGCAATCGATCTCCTTCTTAAGCGACTGTGCGTAAAATATTGAAATTGAAAATAGGAAAAAAAAATTATAAAATAATAAAATTCGCCACCCACTACCCGCCAAAACTCACCAATGGCACCGACTGCACCGGTCCCAATCCAGACGTGCCCGCCAGCGGTTCACTGCCCGCCGCCGCTGCCGCTGCTGCTGCTGCTGCCGCCGCCGCCGCCGCTGCCGATGCGCTAGGACTCATTCCAGCGCCCGTCGAAGTCGACGGCATACCGCATACGCCACTACTGCTAGGTCGCTCACCAGCCGCGCTCACGCACTCACGTGGACTACGCGAAGTTGCACGATGTTGCTGCTGCTGGTGTGTGAGATCCGACGCGAGTATAAGTCCACCGCAGGACGAGCTTGTTGCTGCGGCTGGTGTGGAACGTGCCGACTCGGGATCACCGCCACCACCGCCGCTGCCACCACCGAGTGGTGAGGGCAACGCCAGCGAAGCCGCTGAATGGCTAATGGCTGCGCCGATTTTCATATTCAAGCCCATGGCGTCGTTCGAACTATTGTCTTCTATATCTTCATCCAGTTCCATTTCTTCGTCATAGCTATCGGGTTCTTCGATCTTCTCCACCACGCCTAGCGTGAGTCCGATGCTACCGCTCACGTCTAGCACGCTGCAGGAGGCGGGTCGCACGGGCGGTGAATCAAGCGCTCTCATGTTGCTGCCGCCGCCGCCACCCTCATCGTCATCTTCATCATCCGAGTCGTCATGTCGCCGGGACTTGCCTTCGCCATTGCCGTTATTTTGGTGAGACGACGCCTGCGCGCTACCGCTCCCGCTAACACCACCGCTGCTGGTCGCTGCATGCTTATTATTGCTGTTGTTATTTTTACTTATGGCATGTGCCGTCACATCGCGTTCATCGCTCGTGACGGCAGTTGGGCCACTTTCCACACCAACAATGCTGGTTTCGCCGCTTCGGCCCTGATAGAGATCAAGCGGCAGCGGTGATGAGTCGCGTTCGGGAGACATTTGTTGACGCTTAGACGGTGGTGCCGCAGACGGACTACCGCCGCCGCGTTCACCGCTAGCGTCACGTTTTTGCGCTGTGGATGCCGTTGTTGCGGTACCGGCCGCGCCGGCTGCTGTTGACGTTGACGTCGTTGTTGAGGAGGCAGACGCTGTGGCAGCTTGCTGTTGTTGCTGAGTTGCCGCTGCAACGGCCGCTGCGGCAGCAGCGACAACTGCAGCTGCGGTGCTGACTGGCGTCGTTGTAGCTGCCGCTGCTGCTGCTGATGTCGTCGAGGCTGAGGTGGCGGTAATTGAGGCTGAGGCAGATGATGAAGCGCCGGCGGCGGCGGCTGTTGATGTGGCTAAGTTTGCGGCTGAGGTGGCTATCGATGTGGTGGACCCGCCCGCTAACGCAGTATCGACGGGGCTGTCACAGGTGCTCTTGCTAGGCTGCGAGTGCGGTCTCAAGCGATCCGGTTCACGTTCTGGCTCTCTGAGTGTTGTGTTCTGATTGGTCATCTCTGCTAAGCCCTTAACCTAAGTATAGGGGGGGAAAAAAATATATTAAAGTTGAAATTGGAGAAGGAGATATGTAAATAGTAAAATGGTAGGTAACAAATTTACGTGGTTGACTAATCCTCAGATATTTGATGCTCGAACTCTAATTACGTGCATTTTCATGAATATGCAAACTTACTTTTAACGACTCGGCCGTTTTGAGCAAAGCCGACAACTGACAATATTGCACGTTAACTTCGCCTTTGTACATGAATTCGACTAATGTTTTCAGTTCGGCTAAGCGGACGTCTTTCAATATCACAATTGGATGTTTTTCGGGGTGGTCCAGAAAAAGGCTCTGGAAATATGAAGAACAGGCCGAGAGGACCACCTGAAAGTTAATGAAAAGAAAGGATTTATTAGATTAAATGTAATGAGGTTGAAAACAAACAAAAAAAAAACAAATATCTTAAAAGTATGTAATTTGCGAAAACTATTCTGCGATATAGATTTTTATCAAATACTTAACAATTGACATTTATTTCAAAAATTCTCCTGTAATACTCTACATAAAATCTCGTATGAGGAGCTGGCCAAAGACCCATATTAGACTTTGTGGCTATTAGTGCGCCCTACAAAAGTGCCTTTAGGTCAATTGACATTAATTCCAATGACATTATTGCATGTCACCGGAAAAACACACCCTCCTTAACTGCATAGCATACCCTTTTAACGTGAAGAGCCCTGGGGATGGTCTCTGCCCACACCAGTACTCTTACCGTTGTCTGCAGACACCTAACGACTCAAAAGTTCATCTCACTGACACTCCCATAGTTATCTAGAGCCACAAGTCGATCCATAACCGTTAAAAAACAGTACCGGCGAATTTTCAGTAGAGCGCCGACGTCGGCAACTTTCGCCTAAAAATTTCGCTCAGTTAAACACAACTACGACAACAATGAAATCAGCTGCTTATGAATAGGTACAATTAAAACTTTTACAAACAACAAGATTATTAATTTTTAACAAAAACTAATATAGTATTTTTCAATTTCGATTCAAAAACCTGAGAATATTTAGCATATGGCCACAATGAATCGTATTTTGCCGCTGCCGGCAGCGATGACAATGGAAGTAAGTCTATCGTCGCGAACGACTATCGGGCGAACTTCGTGGTGTGTCTTTGGTTGTGCGTGTTATCATATACGTCAGTGTGTTTTAATTTCTACAGCGAACATTCGCAGCTAAAAATTCGCCGTTCGCTGCCATTGTGTTTCAACGATAAGAAGGTGCATACTAGGTACTTAGTCGTTTAGGCGCGACAATGCAAAGGAAGCTCGGTCTAGTCTGATGCATTTTCTAGACAATGCTGCTGAAGTCAGAAGAACTAACCAGCATCAACGAACCTCTGAAGCAATGTCATAAGTCGGTGTACAGAGGTCAGCCCGCTGGGAAAATATAAGTGACATTCAATCATACTCAAAGTCCTTTCTCCCCAATAAAACCAAATCCAGATTGGGTTTTGGGTGCATAGAGAAACTCAACGGTGTAGTTGTCTCTGGACCAAAAGTGCGTAGAATAAACTGAAGTGATTTCACGATAGGCCTCACCCAAAACAGGACCACAGACTATACACGTCTGTATATATCAGTGCATTTATGTATGTACATATGTATGCATGTTTGTATGTATACCACTTGTACAAGAAAGACTTTATTGTTGTTAGCCCACCTTGGCGGCAACACACAGAATGTGTTTGTACATTTCTGCAGGCTTCAACACTTTTCTTTCCTCACAAAATTTATAATTTTTGCTCTTATTCTACAAAGCTTGGTGAAAACTAAGGAGTGCGGCTGTGGCTTGTGAAATATTCGATGATATTTTATGATATGCGAATGAGAATGGCAAGAATTATGGAGGTATCTACAAGCACTTTGCTAAAAGTAGAAACCACAAAAAAATCCGAAATGCCGCATCGAGCACAAACAACTTGTGGACAGTTATAGTGCGGCTCGTGCACCATACAGTGGGTTTGGAAAATTTGTTGCCGCCCGCAGCCGCTAGGGCCGTGTGGCGAAGGCGTTAACAGCGATGCCGCGCATGCGCACAATCGTACAATTGTAAAATATGCAACAATTTGTAGCAAGAATGGCGAGAACTTGCAAAGTTGAATGCGTTTGCAAGCGCTGGCGTTTAACTTGTTCTGTTTATTGGTGGAGCGCAAAAAATAAAAGCATATAGAAAACAAACTGCATAAAAGATAAAACTACAATAGCAGTTACGACATTACAAGAACAATGCTGGCTGTTGCTGTGCATTTTTTTTATGTAAAAGAAAATCGCTTTTGGACATTTTCTCCACAAGTATCATTTCTCGCACTACGCCAAAAAATTTTCGCTTGTACTGCTTACTTGCGCTCGACTTGCACATTTGCTATGCTCCCCTCTTTCACACACCCATACCCCCGTCAGCTGCGTTGACTTTTATGTGCGCATGCGCAACGCATTCGGCCAAATTAAAACTCACCACAATACCTGGTCACAATCGGGCAGGCGGCTGGAAACTGCGCAGCACAACAAACGGCTTCAGCGCCTTGGGGTAGGCAATGATATGCGATGCATATTTCGTGCGCACTTGCGGCCTACAAAACTGTGCATCTAATGCCTTGGCGAACACACTGCCACCATCATCTATGCCTTACGTTAGTAGGTAGTATCTACTAGGTACTCTGAACCGCTTTGCTTCGCTTTAATGCGTATGCGTTCGCTTGGCAACTCATAAATTGCGTTGGTGCCGCACACATTTTTGTTGCTGTTGTTGTTGTGGTTGCAGCTTTTTCGCGCAGGCGCTAACGATTTGTTGAGGTTGTAAATAAACGAAATTGTTGCGCGTGGCGGGAAATTGAAAAACGTATGTATGCTCCTCGGCAACAACAAATTGCATGGCTACACCAAATAAAAGCACCAAAAAAAAAAGAATGTGAATAGCAATATTTTTAATGCAATCGCAATTGTAATAACAGTAACAATAACAATAACAACAACATAAAAATAAAAAATTGCTATGTGCATTTTGAAATTTATTCCCTCATATTTGCTAATGCGTTTTCTGTGGCTATATAGTACCCACGTATGAATGTATGTATGTATGTACGTACCCATGTATGTTACGTGCATATTTTTTGTTTAGGCCATTTGCTGTGACCACAGCGCGCACATTAGGGAAATTTCAATTAGCCCAAAAGAGCGTCCCGAAGCGTATCTGAGTTGGTGGTGCGAGTGAAAGTGGGCCAATTGCATTTGTGATTTTGATATTTATGTGATTGCGTGGTGAGATTGGCGAAATTTATATGTACATGGCATAAATGCATTTTCGTATGATTTTATTTTCACACGGAACTAATGTCGGGCAAGGGTGAAGATAGATAGATAGATAGTTGGTTGGGTATGGCACTGCGACCAGTAGGTCTATTGTGCCCACAGGGGCAAGGGTGAAAGTGGCGATGAGGAATGTTTGCTTTTGGAATTTTAGCTTATATACGGTGGAAGTTTCTATATGGCAAGAGTCGCAAAAGTTATTTGGATAATGCGCAATTTCGTATGGATGAGTAAAGTCGAAAAGCTCTCTCCGTCCATCGTTGTTATAGAGCAGGAAGAGAGTTTTTCCTGTACGAATCTATACGACCAAAAAACATCCAACAGGATAAGCTTTTTAAAGCTTTCTATAGACTTTATGCAGAAGTAGAGACGACCGAAACTAAGAGGCTATCAGAGCTTTTTTTACCAATTTCGATTATGCGTATGAAATAGAGCACTACTGCGGTCGTCACTGATATATACCAGGGTTGGCCAGAGATAGCATTCATTTTGTGCCTGTCGTATATAAATTGCACAGAGAGCTTTTAAAAGCCTTAGCACGCGTGCCTATGAAGTGGCCACCTTTGATATAGACACACGCCTAAGGGTACGTTCACACAGAAAGCGGAGCCAAGCCGAGCGAAGCAGTTCCGTAGCCGTAGCTATATGAAAGTGTTCATACAGCAAGCTTTTTCATAAGCTGAAAGCAAAGCAGTTAGTTATTGAGTTTGAATTTTCTATTTAATTTTTCAGCTTAATGACGCTGCTGCAAACAAAATAGCAAAATATTCAAATAAAAACGAATTCTACAACTAATCTTTTGAATAGAATTAAACAAATATTTTCGCCGCTTTTCATTGATGGTAAGCTTTTTGCTATCTTTGCAGCCGGGTCAATGAGAAAAGCTCCGCTTCGCTTTGTTCAGTGTGAACATCAGCAGCTTCGCTTTGTTCCGCCTTGCTGCGCTCGGCGTCGCTAGACTGTGTGAATACGCTCCTTAACCATATTCCGCAGTTTAATATAAGTTTTTAAGCTTTCTGTAGCTTTTGCACCGACTACGACCGCCAGAGCTTTATTATAGAATACATGTTCATATTAAATCTATACAAAGCATTAGAAAGCTTCAACTGCTGGCTATGTTTTGGTCGTGAGTGTCTCTGTCACTGGGATGACAGATGTTATCTCTCGCCTGGAATACATAATCAAATATGCATATGTGTGCAACTAAGTAGGGTTGAAATCAAGAATACACACGTTAATGTTTGGAAGGAAGAACGGAACAGTAAAATATGTGGGAAGCTTTCAAGAGCACCGCAGACAATAAATCTATAGAAACGTTCAAAATATTTTCTTGTTATTCGTGGCGTTGTAACACTTAAATGTATTCAACAAGTTTATTAAGCACGAGGCCGTTTCTAGTGGAAATTGTTATGGAAAAA